AACGATCTGAATAGGCTGGATGGATGGGCTAAGGCAAACTGAATGAGCTTCAACAAGATCAAGAGCCAGGTCCTGCTCTTTGGTCACAAAAACCCCATGCATTTCTACAGGCTTGGGGCTGAGTGGCTGGCAAACTGTATGAAGAGAAAGGGCTGATAGTTGAAAGCTGGCTGAACACAAGCCAGCAGTGTGTCTAGGTGGCTAAAAAGGCCTATGGCATCCTACTTGGCTTTCATTAGAAATAGTGCAGTCAGCAAGATTAGGGATGTGATCATTCCTGTATACTTGGCACTGGTGAGACAGCATCTTGAGTACTGTATTCAGTTTCAGGCCCCTCTCTATAAAAAAGACATTGAGGGCCTGGAGCATGTCCAAGGAAGGGCAATGAAGCTGGTGAAGGGTCTGAAGCACAAGTCTTATGAGGAATGGCTGAGGGAATTGGGATTGTTTAGTCTGGAGAAGAGGAAACTCAGGGAAAACCTTATCACTGAAACTACCTGAAAGGAGACTGTACTGAGGCAGGGGTTGGCCTCTTTTCCCTGGTATCTAGAGATAGGATGAGAGGCAATGGCCTTAATCTGTGCCAGGGGAAGTTCTAGTAGGATATTAGGAAAAAAAATTCTCAGAAGGTGGTGAGGTATTGGAACAAGCTGTCCAGGGTGGTGGAGTCACTGTCCCCAGAGGTGTTCAAGAAAATGGTAGATGTGGTGCTGAAGGACATGGTTTAGTGGGCATGGTGCTGATGAGTTGATGGTTGGGCTAGCTGATGTTAGTGGTTTTTTCCAACCTTAATGATTCAGTGATTCTATGACTCTAACTTTGAGAATTACTTTAGAACAAGAGTTTCTGTACATGCCAGAAAGAAAACAACACATTTCCTCCTAGCAGAATATAATACAGCATTTCTCTGATTTTTTCTTATTTTTCTTAATTCTTATTCTGCTGTCAATGAAACATGTACTGCGTCTGGCTGTTCAATCTCCCCACAGCAGCCCATGCAGTGCTGCGCTCTGTAGCCACAACAACATTGGCATCACATCAATGTTTAGTTATTGCTGTGTAGTGCTGACACAGCAGTCTGGTCTCCAACCTCCCTAAGGCCAGAAGGTTGGGAGTGTGCAAGAGTTTGTGGGGTGACACAGTCAGAGCAGTTGGCCTAAGTCAGGAGATGTTTCATATATGATGGCATCACACTCAGCAATACAAGCTGGGGAAGGGGAAGAAAAGAGGAAGCTCTCCTTACTTGTGTCTGTTCTTGAATGTCTGTTCTCTTGTCCTTCTGAGTAAATGCATAGTAATGTCTTCTGCCTAAGATGTGGCAAAAACAGCTTGCTGATGGGAAGTAGAGCATAATAGTTTTCTCCCTTTGTTTCCACACAGCTTTTGCTTGTTTGTTTTTCCTTTAATTAAACTATCCTAATCTCAACCAGTGTGCCTTCTTTTCCATCACATTTTCTCCTCTAGTTCCTTCTAGGAGTACAAAAGAAGAGCTGTGCAGTTCAACTGCCCATCAGCGTGAAGACACCACAGGACACAACAGCAAAGCTTCTGAGAAGTTCCAACCCAGGCTAATCGAATAACTTTCCTAATGGCTCAGCAAATTGTGCAGTCTCCTGGCTCCAAGAAGTCAAAGACATAGTCACATTTATTAGATTGCACAATGTGATGAAAATTCTTATTTTCTAAAAGTTACCATTTCAATATACAATCTTCTTTCTAAAGTTTACTTTCATCTATGTTTATGATGTTCACGATTCTAATACATTTTCTCCTCATTTTTTTTTAATAAAACTAAACGGTAAAATACCATTCTGTCTGTTCATTACTAACAGACTAATTTGGTTTTGGCTGTTGATCTCAGATTGATTCCAAACTATGGGTATACTTCACTGATGCCATTATACAGAGGAGAAAACAAAGACAAAGAATGTTACAAAACATAGCATACGCATTTCAGGATATGGATCCATGTGGTTTGATTCTGTCTACATGTGTCCATAGCAGAACATGAGTTAAAAATTAGGCCTTCCATTCTCAGCGTTCTGTCTGGTGAGCCACAGAATTGTTACAGCATGATTTTCTGCTTTACTGTATGACTTAAAATAATCCATAAGGTTTATCTTCAGCCTGCTCTGCATCACATAGAAACAAACTGCACTTTACTTATATACATATATTACTGTATTCTAATCTCTTAAGGACCAGTAAAAAAACAAACAAAAAAAAGTGATGATGGCCCTAATAATTATTCTAGGAGCTGGACTTGAAGATTGTATGTGAGAAATTCTGCCTGGCTGTGTATACTTGCAGCTCTTTTTTTTTTCCTCCCTCAGCGGTTTACCTTTCAAGTTGATGTTTGAGTTTTAAGCAGGTTGTAGATTTGAAGTGTTGCACAGGAGAATTGTAAGGACATAACGTCTATAGTTAAGCACCACATTTCTCTACTGATGCTTGCATTTTTTGCATTACAAAGTACTTGGGGTTGTGCAGACAATCAGATATTGGCACTATTTAAACATTCCCAACCTTATCATTCAGCATAAATGCTGGAATAGACACAAGGATAAGCTCTCTCAATCTACTAGTTTTAACTCTAGATTAATATTAATTCAAAATGAAATTGTGAAGGAAAGGAGAAAATATTCTTGCCTGAATCCTGATTGCCAGCTTTACACAAACTGTTCTTGATTACCAATAAAACTGGAACAGCAGAAACCAACAGACCAATAGAAGTGTCTCACTTCTATTGTCTCCTTACAGGCAGCTTGTGTCATACATCATCAAGAGAAGTATTTGAAGATACACAGGTAAATTTGGTTCCATATACCAAATAAAAAGGTTATGACACGTTGCCAGTTACTGAGATCTGCCATAATTTCTGAACGGTACCAAAGTACTTTGCAAACAATCTTTAATTGTGATGTCTGACATAATCAAACAAAATTGACTTCAGTCTTCAGAGGAGCTACATGTCATTACTGCTGGAGACAGGTTCTTTTGGTTTATTGGACAAGCTTTCAGTCTCAACTAGACTGAGCTACTTGAAAGAAGGAAAGAAAATCCTGAAAGTGATTGATGCTACTTTAAGTTAGCCTGGGCCACCTATCAAAACTGGGATATGCAGGGACTGATCATCTTAAAGAAGCACAGCAAACCTTGTAGGCTTTAGCCCTGTTGCATACATCCCATTTAACCTCTGGCAATTTAGGTTGAATCCCCTCTGCTTTTCTTGCTCAGTCTCAGAAGCTGTTCTGAGTAAATAAAAGCTACTACCCTCCTCAGCACCCTGCAACTCTACCCATCTGAGCAGCTGTAGTTATGCTGAAATGTAGGACTAGCCCTGGCATAACCAGCCTTTATAGAAGCTGGCCAACCAACTGCTTCCCTGAATAATTTCCAGAAAAATGATGAGTCTGTCTAGGGTCTGATAAGAATAACGTATACCTACATAGCTTAATATACATTGTGCTTTATACTATATGTATTCATATATACATATTTATACATATTTATATTATATACTTATGTATATATGCACATAAACTGATTTTCTCCATATAGACACCAGCCATTTAGTCTGTTCAAAAATAAGAGAAAACATATGAGGTAATAGCCCTGACCTGTTGGCTAGAAAGCACAGGAGGTTTACAAGGACTGAACAGTTCCTCAACCTTTCCTGTCCATCTCTCAGAAAATTCCTCTGTCAGACTTATTCATCTCTCACACAGGTACTTCATCTGCTGGCCTGTTTACTTGTGCACTTAGGATTGAGATTACTTGCTTCTTTTAACTAACCAGAGGAGACGGTAGTAATCACAGCACAACTGCACTTCTGGGATGTCTTTCTTGCATAGCCTCTCTGTACACTCTTCTGCAAAACACTGCAAAGTAAATTAGACAAAGAAACAGAGGAAAAGAACAGAGGAGAGGGATTTTTTTTTTGTTTGGATGGCTTTTTTGTTTGTATGTGATTTGAGATCCAACTAGAAAAAAGAAATAATGCTGGATCTTCCCTGCTGCCTGGAAAAGCAGGTGTAATATTTACTGGGGTATTTCCTAGGCAAAGGCTAGGAAAACTGATGTTATTTCCTTAAGTGGTAACCCTTCTCAGGAAAATTAACTGATACCCCAGCTCCAAGTTAAGAGTGCAAAAGGCAGATTGAAGTGCTTATTCTTCAGTAATATAAAATAGACTCCTGCCAGTTTGATGTCCTTAGGGGGCTATCTGTAGAAGAAATGTCAAGCTGGGTTCCTACACTATATACACCATTGCTAGGCTTAAATTGTGTTAGGTACTGTTTTAGAGATCTGTGCATTTCAGCACTGACTGACGCTATTCATATACAGCTGACACTTTTAAAAAGAGCTTTATACTATGGATGAGTGATCCAAAACCTTAAAGAAAGGGCACTGGAAGGAAGTTAGAGTTATCAGAAAGAGTGAAGAGCACCTGACATGCTTGCCCCTCAGCTACTTATGCAGCACTTTGCTTTACCTTACAGACCTCTGAACATCTCAAAAGGATTTTAAGGATCCTAGTGCCAGCCTGCTCTCTCAAGACTGATTTCTCTTTGTAATGCTATTGTTACAAATCATGCATTAGTATGATCAGCAAAGAGATTGATTTTTTGCAGTGGCGGGCAGAGAACTGCCTGGAACTCCTAATAGAGCGGAAGTCTGATAGAGCAGAAAAAGCCTCATTGGATATGAAGAGAGATGAAGAGAACAGAGAAATGGAAAATAGTTGAATTTAAAAAAAAAAAAAAAAAAAAAAAAATTTGAAAGAGTGCAGAGGAGAAAAATAGAATGGAGTCCTAACTAGCGCAGACCTTCACTCTGAGAAAGCACGGCAGTTCTCAAGCCACTGCTGCTTATCTGTACTTTTATCAGAAAAAATAACAAATCAGAATAAATAAAAATGACAGAAAGACTGGCAGATACTTTAGAAAAATAAGCTATACCGAAGAAGATTTAATAATTTTACCTACTGGTGGGAAAACACTTAGCAAAATTGAAAGGGGGGGAAAAAAAGGGCAGAAGGGAAGACAGCGAAGTGCCATCTGCATGGTGGTTCTTGCACAATCAGCATCCTTACGTTGGTTGCTCTTACCCTGGTTAAAGAAAGATGCTCAGCTGCTGTCAAAGTTCTGTCCGATACTGTTTGAAATTCAAGTTCTCAGTGGAGAGGAAAGAAAACTTTTAAATGATTCAAAAGTGAAACATTTTTAATTTTTATAGTGTAAGCAGTGATAATCTTGATATCCATATTTTCCTTGATTTTCCCAGGAACTTTTCACTTCTCTCATTGTCAAGACATGCACGCTTTAAACTCTTCAGAACTTCTTATAATCTTTGTGGCCTAGAATTACTTGTAGACCGCAATTTCTCACAGGAGCAGGACAGCTTATCTGAAAGAGGCAATATGAATGCCTAGTGCTTGCACTGTTCAGACCAAAGAGGCATTGTTAGTCATTGCAGACTCACATCATCATAAAGGATAAACATGGCCCAGCCTCACCCAAGCACCAAAGACCATTGAATCTGTCAATTTGGCTGCAAGCCTCAGCCTAACAGTGTGGACTGCACAAAGGGCTGATCTGTGGGTCCCACTTTCCTCTGATTTGACTGGAGACCTTATCTGGCTGCTGTTCACTCTCTTCTCAAGTATCTCTAAATCCAGTGTATGTCTGTCCATCTCCTCCCACCCCAAAGTGCCTCTATCAAGGGCTCACTAAGAAAGCATGTGGTGGCTGTTGAGAGGGACTCTGTATCAGAGCTTCCACTTGCTTGAAGATTGTTTCCTGGGATAGCAGTGACAAATTGGTGAGCTCCTGAAGGCAGGAGCCACGGGTTGTACTCCTTTGCTGTTCTCTACTGCAGCACAGCTCCTCTGAGCCAGAGGAATCAGCTGAAGCTTCAGACAAAGCTGGAGTAGAGATCAAGGAACCCAGGCATGGCACAGAGACAGCGAGGGGAAGTGGGAGACAGCTGGGTGCACAGCCGCATGGGGAGTGGAGTTGGTGACTGAGATCTGTGGAGATGGCAACAGGAGGAACAGCAATGCCAAGCTGGGGCAGAACACACCAGTCACATCCTGGGGGCCTCGAGGTCTGACCTTCCTGCTACCTGCTCACACACACACACAAAAGTATTCCATGCCTCAGAATTATTTATTTTCTAGTTAAGAGTCTACAAGCAACTAAAGCCTATCTATGTAACAAATTTTGTGATATTACTATAAAATACTTTCCACTGGGCGTTAAGCTGAGTGTAAATGTCACAGTTCTGCTCAGGGGCTGGAAGCGGGGAGGGACAACTAACTACGGAAAACGACCACACCCCGTGTCGGCTGTTTTCCCTGTTCAGGCTCTTGGGAGCTAAGCTCGCATCCGAAACAAGAAGAAAGCCAGCCTGTAAACTCCCCAAACCGAAGTTCTGCGGCTCCGACGTGCTCTGCTGCGTGACAGCAGCACAGCAGCACATGAAGGTGCTGAGGCCTCGGTGCAGGACTGCAGCCACAGCTCGGCTACCAGATTTCTCTTGGCAGAACTGCTCGTTGCAGAGCCGCAGGCACAACAAACTCACACGCAGCCGCTCCCCGCCGGGCCCCGCGCCGCACCGCCGCCAGCAGCCTCCGCTGCCCGCCGCCCCGCCTTCCCGCTTCCTCAATCAAGCGCCGAGCGGCGGATTGCGGGGGAACCGAGCCTCTCGGCGCTACCGTTACCGCCTTCCGCTCCTCCCATCGGAGTTGAACCCGGCTGCCCGTACCCCGGCGGGAGAAGCGGGGCGTGCCCAGGTCTCGCTGTCGCCTGGCTCTTCCGGCGGAGGCGGCTGGTCGGGCGCCCGGCGTTCCGTGCTCGTATTGCACGGTGAGCGGCGAGAGGCTATGGAGCGCGTCTTTACGCCGCTGGACTGTCTCCTGCCCGCCGGTACGGTATCTCCCGCAGCCGCTGCTTGCCTTCGGAGCGGGGGCATTCCTAGGGTGGCTTGCCTCAGATTCGCTTCACGGGCGGGCGACGGCCTCGACGTGGTGCTGGGGCCGCCAGGCGCCGTGTGGGGGCTGCGGCGCGCTGCGGCGCGGGCACAGCACGTGTCCGACCGGGTTCTCGGCGGGAGGCTGCTTCTGCCAGTGAAACAGATCGGTCCGATGGGCCCAGCGGAGCGTGCTACCCGCGTTTAAAGTAAACTTCCTTATGTGGGAATTCACTGCCGTTTAAACCCCTTCAGATTTAATTGCTGTCTTCACTTAATTTGCCAGAGCTGTCTGGTATTGCCGGTGCCGGGCCTCCCTTGGAGTCTGTGGTTTGGCAGGGGATGTATGGGCCTGCCTTCTTGGTGTGCTCTGACCTCGGACGCTGAGCTGAACCTTCGCTGTTTTGTGAAACCACCACGTGCAGCCAGCTGCCTGCTCGGTGCTGCCAGGCAAGGCTTTGTGGGTTGGGCTTTTTCACATTCACTTACCTATATTTATTTATTGTTATCCTGAGCTGTTACTGAGTGTTCCTTTTCTCTTTAAAGAGAAGGAGAATTTGCATGGGAAGGAGATTTCAGTGAGTTACCTTTTGATTCGTTGTGATATCTTCTTGTCTGAAATGAGGAATTGCTACTTACTGAAAGCATGTGGTAATATTGAGATAAAGGTACCTTAAGAATTTATCCCTTGGGAAGAACTGGTGTTTCTATCTATGTTCTAAAATATTTGCTGTTGCATTTCTGTGATGTTAGGCCTAGCATATGTTTCCTGGAAATATTTTTTTGTCTTTATTTTATTTTTCCTCTTTTTTATGCCTGGCTGATGTTGAAGATCTAGGCTGTTCAGTTTGCAGATACCCCACAGCCCTGTCAGAGCAGAGCCTTCAGCTGGGTTGTGAGAAGTGTGCTTCTTGTGGAGAAATGGCTGCTTTGAGTGTATGAACCAATGTAGTTATGCAGGACTGTGTGCCTGTGAAATACAGTGATGCTGTGTCTGGAGCCTCATCGCTGTTAGTAGCCTTTCTTATCCATGGCAGCAGGGTTGGCACTGTAGAATCTTTAAGGACTTTTCCAACCCAAGCTGTTCTATGATTCTCAGCATTTTAGACTGGTTATCCTGCATAAAGCATGCAAGGCTGATCAGAATAATTTTTCAATTCAACAGTTTTCATATATACTGATAACCCACTTTGGGATCTCAGAAATAAGGTTTTCCACACCACGTAGTTGAAATGGGGCTCCTGAATCCTTGAGAAAGTACTGGTGGGTCTTCCAAGTACTGTTGACCTCGTCTTTAATAATATATATATATATAGTATACAGAAATATATAGTGGATTTCTGATCACTTTCTAAAGACCTGTGCAAATACAGCAGCATGTTATCACAAGGACAGTATGAAAGATTTGCCTGCAATGCTTGGAGGCTGTTACTTGAATTGTTTTTGAGACTGTTCACAAATTACAGTGCTGATACTTGAACTAGAATAAAACACTTAGAGGAATCTAGTATTATGTACCTCAATTTAAATTTCAGAGCCACCTGCTCTTTCGTAACTTTTTTGATATGTCACCCTGTGCAGCATCTGAGTTAGGTTAAAGAAGTAGAAATTTGAAGCTGCTATGCTAAACTGATGTGCTGAGAGCCTCAGAGACTTAGAAGTCAAACAGCTGGAGCACAGCTGAAAATCACTGTTCTACAGCCAGAGAGATGTGCTTTGCATTTCAGAGCTGTGTTGATTTGCTTAACATAATTTAGAATGAATAATGAGGTGAAATTTCAGAGTGGGATTGAGCTCTAAATTTGAGTGTTACATACTGAAACAAATCTGCTTTACTTTCTTCATGAAATTGTGAAGAGGCTGAAAGAAATCCAGCTTGGTGTTTTGTGTGCTGCTCTGAAAGGATCAGGTGGAAGCCACAGAGAGTGAAACTGTGACACAGCCATTGTAGGAGGCTCATGGTAGAAGCTGTCATGCAACAGCCTGTGTGTCATCTCAGGAGTAGCGTAGTTTCTTCTGTGGCCTCCTTTGAGTGACTAGCTGTTTCCCTCCTGTTGTTTCTATCCTTGTCTTGCACTGTTGCTTATCAAGACTGTGCTTCAGGCATTTCTGCAGAGAGATAAGTGTTTCTGGTTTGTTTTATTTCATACCATGAACTTTAAAACTAAGTCTACTATTCTTGTGACTGCTTGACAGTGTCATAGTATCATAGCATACTCTGAGGTTGCCCCTGAATACCACTTGAAATTTTTCAGTAATGAAGATTGCCAGTTTACTAAGCTGGATGTTTTCACAAGGAACATTTTACTTTGCATACCATACTGTGATCCAGATTTTCCACTCATCTGCCAATGCAATTGGTGATTTCTTACCTTGCACAGTCCTTGAAATGCTGCTCATTGTTGGTTATTTCAAGTGGAATGGAGCAGAAGGGCATCTTGTTCTGTTTGCAATCTAGCAGCTCCCAGCTGCAGCCTCTTGATTTGTTCTGATCCTTGCAGAAGGCTCACCAAACTGAGCCTCTTGTGCTTGACAATCTGATGAGCGGTTCCCCTCTCCTAGTCTACCCTGCACCAAGTCTTGCAACTGAGGACAATCACAAACTGTGCTGTGGTGAGAGCTGCTGGTCTTAGTTTCTAGGACCACCAGCGAGATGTGTAGGAAACTGCATGGAATACAGTTTTTGGGATTACTCAGCAATATTAAGTGGTTAGAAAGTATGGCTGAATACCAGGATGTGTACATCAATGGAGGAAGGTGGAAGGAGAAATAGTAGGAACAAAAGCATGATGAAGTGATGGGAATGCAATGTGTATGTGTATGCTGCTGCAGTTTTTGTCTGGGGTGCAAAAATACATGCTCTTCTCCATGTTGTGGTAACAGTGCACCTGCTAAAGAGGAATCAGGAAGGCAGCTTCTAACATTTAGGTCCTCAGAGGAGATCTGAGGTCGGTTGTTGGCTGTAAATGCCATCTGATAGTCAACAGTGAAAACAGAAATGTGATTTTGTACATCCTTATCAGGTTGTACAAGAATGTACAAGAATGTATCAGTGTGGTGTAGGTTTCTTCTCCTAGATAGAATATTCTTCAAATTCTGGTTAGCTGTTTCATAAAACTGAACTGTTCCTCAGTGTGTCACTGCCATCTGGAATCAAATCCAGTTAGTTACGCTGACCTAGGCCTGCTCCTGATTTTTCCAGGAGTATCACTGAGTGATCCGCCTACCTGCAAATTCAACTTTATTTTGTTATTAAGTTGTCGTCTTCTTTCCTGTTCCAGAGTTCTCAATCTGTAGCTTCATCTCACTGAAGCAATATCATCTTCATGTCATGAGAGAGAGAGTCACAGCCAATAGGATAAAGACTTTCAGAATTAGGTGGAAATATATAGTTGTCCCTTTGTGCAAAGGTACTGTAATATTCTGCATTGAATTTAGTGAGAAGAGAATGAAAGGAAGCAACAGTACACTGAATGCTCTTTCCTCTTTCTATAAGCTCTTTGTTTTACTGTCTTCTGTGGAAGTGTTACTGACTGTAAACAAGCTACCTCTGATACAGCACTGTGCTGCTTTTTTAAAGGTTTGCACTTTCTTTTGAATCTTGTTTTTCTTACACTAAGGGCTGGAAGTTGAAACAGATGGGGAAAAAGATGTGTTTGCTGTTCACTGAATGACCTCCAGCTCAGTACAAGTTTCAGTAACCAACTGAGTGTTCCTTTAATGGGAAGTTTGTCTGGTCTCTATATTGCACTGTCCTGCAGATTAAAATACAAAATTCTGGGGCAGGAAATCAAGGCACTTATGGGGTTAGGAAATCAGCCTGCTTGTTTGCTGCTGAATGTTGAATGCTTACGCATAGAGGATGATGGAGCCCCAGATTACTGGTTAGCTTCATAATTGTGTTGGATTAGACTAGTGAAGGTTTTTAGATGAATGAGATCATTCAGAAGCTGTGTCTGAGTTCACAAAAGCTGGAAAATGCTATCAGGGATTTTAGTCCTTTTAGTTTATTTCAGGAATTCCTCAGTGAAGTTGGCAGGTGCTCCAATGTAGCTATTACATTGTTCTTTTTTCAGTTGAAATGATTTTATTTTATTTTTTTCTACATGAATGTTACCTACTGCTGCAAGAAGTAGCTCCATTTATTTGATAGAGTCACCTGGGCTGCCCCAGCTTGTTTTTGGAGTAGTTCAGCACCTGGCTTCAAGCCCTGCTGCTTACTACTCTGCTCTGCTAGATCAGCAGTTGTTCTGTGGGCTAATTATTGGATAAGTTGCTTACAGGGGCACTTAGTTACTACTAAATGAAGCATTACAGTAGGCTCTTAGCAGGCATCATTACTGTTAACCTTACCACTTAGTATTGGATTTTTTTTTTTCACGTAGTGTTTTGTTTTCACGTAGTGTTTTGGATCCCTTCATTTTTTTGGTTATGTTTTTCTTTGTTGGTTTTTAATGCTATAGAGGTATAGCATATAATATATATAGTATATAATGTTTGGGATGGGTAGGAAGCCATCTTTAACCATTAGAGGAAGATGAATACCTAATTATTTTTGTACACATGTGCACATAGCTCTACTGAAATAGGAAGACACACAAGCCACTTGCTGTTTGTGTAGATGATGGTAATTCTAATCTTGTGTGATGTCAGTGCACCGATAGCCCCACTCTGGTAGTAATAGGAAACAGCTGATTTGATCAGATTATGACAGAAGCGATGCTAAAAAGAACTCGACAAACCATAACAAAACAGAAGAACAGTAATGGGTGTGGATGTCACTAGATCTTCACAGACAGACTTCACATTCATTACAGCTTTCACAGATAATAAAGCACTTAAGGTTGTTCAAAAGGAATTTATTTAGTGTATTCTAGCAGTTGATAATTTCAGGCTTATGCTTTCTGAGGAGTTGAGCAGGTGTAGCAGATTGAACCTTAAAGCTGAGAAATAGGCC